TTCCACTTGATATGGGAAAAAATAATTTAGTGGCTGTCCCTTAGTCATCTATGATCTTCTTTTTGGCTCCACAAACTCTGAATCACAAAACAAATAAAAGGGCTCATTCATTCCTCACTTCATTTGTTTTTTAACTCAGTCATATGGCGGTATGAAGTTAGGATGACTCAGTAATCGCTCCAAACTCTGTTTGAAACCGAATACACAAATCTAGTAACTATTGTTTTGTGGGCAATTGCCATGGCCTGATGAAGGTGATATTTTGTTCCATCTATTAGGACTCAATTGTGGGCCCTGAGCCAAGGTTTCAGGATGAATAATGTAATGTATATCTGAAAATTTTCAGTCTACAAGACTAAAACATATATATGTCATCACTCCAGGTAGTCAGCAATACATGCAGACTAGGAAATGTGTTTCATTATGAACTGTAATTTGTCCAAAGTTGAGCTGATCAGGTGATCCTATGAATTAACAAACTCCCAGTCGAAATGTAGCAGAATCATGAACCGAATGAATTGTTCAATGGATCCAAAATAAAAAAGATGGTTTATGGCTAGTGGACAGCCGCTAAATGTTGATTTTATTCACAGCTCAAGTGAGAAGTGACTAATAATGAGAAAAAAAGGAAGAACAGTAAAACATTTATATATTATTTATTTAGTAAATATATAATAAACAGGCATATAAATATAATTTTTTTTTTTTTACAGCTCTTCTTTTTCCCCCCACTTTTGGTTACAGTTTTTGATATGATCTGTAAAACAAATGGTGGGAAAATGTGCCTATGAGTGTACTGCAAAATATATATATTATGTAAAAATGTTGCAGTACACCGATTGACCCATTTTTGCGCCATTTGGTTCATTTGATTTTTTTCCCAAATCTTTTTCTGTAAATTAATTTCAGTTGAGCCAAGAGTGAAATTCAGGTGTCCCAAAAATATTTTTAATTTTGGACAAAGTGGTTTGGCCGAAACAATTGTATTTTACTCTAAACTGTGTAGCCTCAGATTACTAACCAGGACTGCATCCTTTTTATCTCAAAACACTGAGAAGTCTGTTGTGATATTCTGCTGAGTTCTGATTTTTTTTATTTTTATTATTAGTATTTATATCCTTAGTTTTCTACTCTATCCTTACCTTTTGTATCACTATACCCCACTTACTCTAACATGTAAGCTCATCGAGCAAGGCCATCAACCCCACTGTTCCTAAGCGTCCATCTGGTCTGGTTTTAACTATGTGTCTGTCAGTCCACCCATTGTACAGCACTGTGAAATCTGTTGGCACATTATAAATAATAATAATAATAGTAATACACTTTAAAAGTACAGAAGTTGGATATTTAGAGGTGAAGGAGGCCCTGGTCAAATAAATACACCATTCAGGAGGATTTAAGTTAGGCTCATATATACTGCCCAAGTACATTTACTGGTGACCAGCATCAAAACTCAGTTTTCCAGTCCTATGGCAGTGATGTTACCACTGCTGTATATGTTTAATATTCAGGATTTCTGGTAGTAGTAATAAGCAGTTTTGAAATGTTTCATATGATCATCCTTGAGCCTTTACATAATGATCAATCACATCACTGTTTAATATCAATATAACCGTTTCGGCGTTTAAAAAAAAAAATTATTAGACAAATGTTCAAAGTTTTACTAAAACGTTCACAGTTTTTTAACCAAAAAATAAAAACGGTACACTATTTTCTTTGAAAAACCTAAACATTTACATAGCTAATATAGGAGGATTAATTGTTATTTTGCTGCCATGGTTTGAAAAAAGTCACCATAGCTATCTGCTATCTGCAACCCAAGCACTATGGTGAAGAAGTCAATTAGATAAATGTGTACTTTTATTGATTCCTATAAAACTGCATGATTAAATGTACAATTTGTTAAAGGGTTTCTATAACCGGGATGGCGCAGGATTCATGTCTGCAGTCAGCCTGTTCCGTGATTTCCTTCCATTGATCTGTTTTGTATCATGATTCAGTACTTTACATCCAGTGATCACTCATCATCCTTGCTTGTGTTTTCATTCAGCAGAGCTTGCCTAATGTAGTTCTGATATAGGATCCAATAGGATGTATTTACTGGTCGGTAAGCTGTTGATTCATGCTGTGATTCTTTTTGTAATTGACATAATTGATCACACCTTATACTCTGCTGTCCTGGTCAATGTGATTCTCATTCCATTTGTGTAAACACAAACATAGCCAGATTGTTAACCTTTGCACTAATCCACGTGAACGTCGAGCAACACTGAAAACATTGGATTTTAATAGTTTGGAGTTTGTTCTAACAGGAGAATAATGATTTTGTTTAGCTTCCTGGATTATTACATTAAATTGCTTTTCTAAAGAAAAAACACATACTGAATATTTTATAAACAATAACCATTCATCAATTGTATAAAATCTTTTAGGATAAGATTCTTAAAATCTGTTTCTCAAGGAAAGAGCCGAATAATGGTTTTCAGTTTAACACATTCCATGCCTTGTTCAGTTTTTTTTTGTTTAGTTCACAACCGTTTCATGTTCTTCTTTTTTTGTTACTGCTCAGTTTGATAGTCTGTCACAAGGGATAAATCCAACATGCAACGTCTAGGTTAGTGGTAACAAATTGGAATGAAAGAAACTTATTACAAGGCCTAAGGCTGGACTTAACATAGTCAAGTACAAGCCTAGATCAGGATAACAGATAAATAGTGAAACTGAGAACTAGCCAAGATTGTACATCACTCAAACAGGTAAACACGGCAGGAAAGGGTTACAAAGAAACTCATGGTCAGAACAAAGTCAAGGTCAATAGTAGATATATCACAATGTATCAAGGAATGCACTAAAGGGTACTGGGAACAGAAACCACGAAAGGGCACAGCAAGTAAGGCCAGAGGAGTTTAAATACTATTATGTGTTATTTGATTTGGCCACGTACTTGAGTGGGGACGTCGAAATGACGTGGATCAATTTAAGTTGGAAGTGACGTGACACCCATATTTCCCTTTTAAGAATGTGCTCCAGATGTGACCAGCGTTCTTTTCTCTAAAATTTGGGCCGCACGAATAGCTGTTAGATTCAGTGCACGAGGCCTGTTTGGAGTTTCCTGACCAATGACAGGACCGGGTAAGTAACCCAATCATTGTTCTATCACTTGCCAAAACAAGTTCTCAAACCAATACATTACATGTTGCTCCCTTGATTAATTCTCTGTTTTGTTCTGGTTTTTATGTATGTTATTTCTTACTGTTTGTCTTTGCTGTTCAGTCTGTAAATCAATGCTCTAGTGCCATACACTCAGTAAGGAGAAAAGAGAACGACAAGGATGTATACTTCTGTTACAGTAAAATGAGTACAACTATGCAGCAAGATAATTACGATATAGATAAACAAGCCAGATCAAGTGTGTCAGTGGTTTGGATAATTCGGAAAAGCCAGGTCAAACCAAGAACATACCAATAAAAACAACAAGGACCACACAACACAAGACAGCATTAACCACATCGTAAGTAAGTAAATCTTTATAGTGCTGGGATTTGGGGCCTTTTTGCACTGCAAAACAAGTGAGTGTTTTGTGAGTGTAACTCAGTTTATGGTTTTTATATGTACTAGTAACATATTTTATTGGGTTAATGAATTAATTCCATAGCATAATGAGAATAGTATTTTTTACATTTGTTTTATTTTAATTGTAGTTTTCTTTTCTTCCTTGCTAAATTACCATGTAATGTGTCCCTCCTGTTACCTCAAAACCACACCATAATCTTGTTTTATTAACGTTTTCTTTTCCATAAGATTCGTCAAGAAACATATTGTATCTACATAGCGAGGATGCCAATTAGACTTTAATACATTCTCTTAACTGAGTGTAGGATAAAAAAAATAATCTATTTTAAATATTTTTTTTTTTATTTTTTTTTATTGGAATTTGTACACACAGTGTACATTCATATCATTATATGGGAATAAGGCAAGAAAAAAAAAACTATATAATGACTGAGAACTGAGATTGTGTAGGTTTTAACGGAACATTTAACTAGCAATACAGAATATACCAGGAAAAAAAGTTACATGGTTCTAGTGACCAGATCTACTACTTTCTTGCGGTGGATTATAGCCCTAGAACAGCTAGGATTCAGAAGTGGATTACAGCCATATCTATGCAGCTTGGTAAAGTACCTATCTGCTGCCTCCTCAGATACCTCCACACAAATGGATTTGGCATGTTATAATGCAAAGACCCCAAAAGTAAAAAATATAACTTTAATTAATTAATATTGAGATGTTGATTTTGAAACCATCGCATATTTTCCCATTGCAATCTGACTAGGACAATAGACATTTAAGATTATTAAAATTAACTGGTTTTGGAAAACATTTAGCTGTTAGAATGCAAATTATTTCTCAATGGTAATATGTGATATGACATGTAAAATATATAAAGTGTCCCAAACTATTTAAATTACAGCAGCCTATCATGTATATTAGTACCTCTATCCCTTTTTGCCAGATCAGCTTCCTTTACTAATAGTAACATTGAGATGCATGTCTTAGACCATGGGTAGGTAACCTTTGGCACTCAAGATGTTGTGATCTGCATCTCCCATAATGCTATTACAGCCATTATGCTGGCAAAGCATCAGGGGAGATGTAGTCGACAACATCTGGAGCATGAAAGGTTACTTACCCGTGTCTTAGACAATTTAATTGATAGTAATATTGAACATAAATGATCGTGATACGTTTATGCATATCTTCAAAACTGATTTCAACTAAAAACAAAAGAGTTTCTAGCAAGTTTAGCAATAGAGAAAAATAACTGTTCTGTAGAAGTCAGTAAGAACTCTGTACAACAGATACTTTGCACAACAAGGTAAAGAGTTAGCTGTATTTATTATATTTTGCTACTGTTGAATAGTGATGTCGCGAACCGTTCGCGAACTTGCCGCGAATGGTTCTCCACGGTTCGCCACGAACCGTTCGCGGCGAACTCCGGTCAGCTGACACATCCCTGCCAATCTCCGGCAGACCCTCCCTCCCAGACCCTCCTACTTCCTGGACAGCATCCATGTTGAAGGCAGCTTCAACATGGATGCTGTCCAGGAGGTGGGAGGGTCTGGGAGGGAGGGTCTGCCGGAAGGCAGCTTCAACATGGATGCTGTCCAGGAGGTGGGAGGGTCTGGGAGGGAGGGTCTGCCGGAGATTGGCAGGGATGTGTCAGCTGACCGGAGTTCGAACCGCGGCGAACCGTTCGCGGCAAGTTCGCGAATGGTTCGCGACATCACTACTGTTGAATAAAACATTTGCAGCTGTCAGACTCCAATGCTTTCAAACCAATTTCCATTGTAATGGAATTATCTGTGTTTTAGAAGAATGACCCAAACTTCTGATATTATTTTGATTATTCCAAATTAAATGCCCACGACCCATAAAGTAGGTGTAACAACAATGCAGTTTGAGAGAAAAGAATCATTAACAAAACCTCTGCAGAGACGTAGAGCGATGTATCTGAGCTCTGTCAAATAAACTTCTCAGCAATGAGAGAACTGCTGTAGAAAAGAGTAAATGTAAAATAAGTGAGGCTTTGTGAGCAACAGTTCATTTCATTACACATTAAATTTTCCCATACATATATTGTTGAATGATGGGGTTAATATTAGAATATGGTAGCATCTTAAATCTTCAGAGGCCGTTTTAAATCAGCCAGATTAACTTTGCCCTTTGTCTTTAGTGGCCTAAGGTGATTGCGTTAAGAATAGATGCAACGTCACGCATTGTTTCTAGAGAGAAATCTGTTAAAGACATGGAGCGACTGCATACATCGCTGGAATTCTCTGTAATCTTCCATTTTACAGTAACTCCATCAAGCAATTAGCAAAAACCAATCTGCACATTCACAAGAATTTTTTTCCCTCTATTTTACAAATGATATGCCACAGCGAAGCTAAATGAAAATAGCAGCACATAATTAGACATTTTTTTCATTAAGCAAATTTTGCACCTGGTACCTGTAGAAATAGAAGTGTGGTACTTGAATAATGACTTCAGTGGCGTACAGTGCCATGAAAATTTATCTTGGAGATGATTTTATTGCATGGTTACCCGAGGCAATTAAATCAATAAATCTTAACTGTCAGGAATGCTGGCTTGATGCCAGGTGCAAATGAAATGCAAAGATATCAGTAAATAACAGGTTTATGATAACTCATTTTAAGGATTCTTTAACATTTTAGACCTTTCTCTTTTGATTGGCAAAGATCCAATTATTTATCACATATTGATTAATGAAAATGACATGGCTTTTATTGATATATATTATACCATCTCCACACAGCCATGGGTTTGTGTGACATTTGAAAACAATTATTTTGTGTAATAACAAATGCTGCTTTGTAATTTGTGTATCTCACCTGCGTTAAATATGCCTGTTAGTTTATGAATAAAATGCACATATCTTCACGGACTGTATTATCCATTGTAAAATTTCCAAGCATGTACTGTATAGTTAATGCACTGTCTATACTACAGGGTTCCCTGAAATGTAACGCATACCATTGTCAGAACAAAAGACATAAAATATACGTAAGCCATAAAACAACCTATTGCTATGTAAATAAAATGTACATACATCCACTGTTCCTGCTAAACTCACTAATTTGGGCATTCATTAAAGACTTTGTTATGGAAAGAGAAAATAAAAAAAAAAACAGCAAAAAAGAGTGTGGTGCTCCGTAATGAACAAATAAATATAGTGTGCGATCACACCAAATTTAAAACTTGGTATACATACGTTAGAATATACTTCTTGTTCAAAGTATAAATACAGCATTCAAGATGGTGATAAAACTCTTCAGGTATTTAATCACTTGAATAAAAAACATAGAAAAACAATATAGTGTAAAACCACACACAATAAAAAGTTGGATAATATTGCACTCACAAACATAAAATAAAAACCGGCATATCAGAAGGTACAGTAGCAAACGTGCAATAAAGCAGGTCTACATTCGGGGAAATTCCCCTGAACATACACTAGTTCACTAGAGTATGGAATCCTGAGAATATATGTTCAGGGAAACTTCTGTTTGCAATGAGAAATAAATGACCATGGCTTCTCAGTGGGAACAATAGATCTGGTTGTCCTCCCTGGATGATGTTGCATACTGGTGCAACTATTGCATATGGTCACATCATACTGCAGGAGTGCCCTTAATTTTCATTAAGGAAATTAAAGAATGTTACTAGCACTTTTTATTACAATCTGGGCTTTGCATGCTTACCTCACCAATGCATTCATCTTTTCTTGTGCAATACTTTTTTATATAAAACTTTTTAAATTCTGATGTACTGTCCATGTTATATATTACACTTAATTCTATTTTGGATCCACACACTATTTTGGATCAGGATCAAATGTATTATCTAACATGATCCCACATATTAATTTGCCCTACCTAATACCCAGTGGCCCTCTGTATTGTGTCCTGTCCTGTGTCTATTAAGGGACAATTGCCTTGGATCTAATTAAACTGTTAATAGCTCCCAACTGATTCCTCTCTTGCAACTGTCACTAGTCTAATACTATCATTACCTTTTGTGTCACTTTACCCCACTCCCTCTAGCATGTAAGATCATTGAGCAGGACCCTCAATCCCTCTGTTCCTGTGTGTCCAACTTGTCTGGTTACAACTACATTTCCGTTTGTCCACCCATTGTAAAGCACTGCAGAATTTTATGGCGCTATATAAATAATAACATAATAATAATAATAATAATAGCCTATGCATCTAGTGGTCTTAACACCTGCACTATCTACAATGCAGGGCATGTGTTCATTCAAGCTCAAAAGCTCACCTGTTTCATAGGTGGTTGCACTTTATGTGGTTCTATAAGAGGCCATATTCTTTATTTGGAATCGTAATGCCTTAGTAAGAGGACATAAATTGTAGCGGTTACCATATATATTTTTCTCGACGCACATAAAAATTAAAAACAAAAAAGCATTTCTTTTTAATAAAAATTTTATTTGACCATTTTTTTTAATAATTTGTTGTTCTGGTAGCATAATTAATCCCTCTATGAGAGAAACAGACATACCAGGTTTGACAACATTATTTATACATAGACAATGTGTTTAAAAACAACAGAACTGCACTTATCTATTTCAATGGCAATAAGGCCAGTAGCACATTACAACGCACACGTGCTCCTGGACTTTTTGACCAGCTAAAGTTAAGCCATTTAGCATGACGGGTAGGCACCCTCAGTCGTAAAACTGTTAAATGCTTATACATATGCATTAAAGATTTTCCGACTCTGAAAAAAAAAAAGAAAATTGCAAATTGTGCAACACATTTAAAACACAAAGCAAATCAGGCAATATAACATTTTATACAGTTAAAGCAAAATGACTTTCAAATGTTATAACTATACAACATAGTAGTAATCGCTTCAACATTATAACAGGTAAGATCTGTACAAAACCTTTTAACTTACGAAACTTTACAAAGAATAACATGCTTGCTAAAACAAGGATACCTTGTGAAATTGTTACAAATATGTATGTATACAGGATATGGATTCTGCTAGAAAAAAATTTAAATAGGTTACAAATCTTTTTATTGAAATAGATAAATCAAAAAAATAAAAGCTAAAAAATGTAGCTAATAACATATTAAAAAAGTACCTCTTCACTTGTTAATCAAGTTATAATTGCAGACTATAATATTGATTAGAGACGGGCAAACTTATTATTTTATTTTTTTTGAGACATGAGAAAATGGCTTTTCTCCTGCCACAAACACTTCCATGAAAAACTCCTAAAATTATTGTTATTATTTTTTTTTGCAGGGGAGAGTGAAGATTTTTTTTTTTTCAAGGTTGTTTTTACAAAATTTGCAAATCCTTAACACTTTTGAGAAATACATTCTTTTCAGCATCCACAGCTGGTAACCGAGAGGAAATTTACTCGCTAGAGGTTTCCAGGATTTTTATAAATATATTTAAAAATATGTGGTAAAGAAGAAAATAAAATAAATTTAGTTAGGAGAAATAAAAAAAGAGTAAGCACATGATACTCAATGTGTACAACAGGTTATTTTTCTCACACCTATTATTACTTAAAATATTTGACCCTTAAATTAACCCATTAAGAAACAATGGTGGACATTACACTAGGCTTGTGATTCTTTCTTCTAAATCTGTATGATAATGTTAATAGCAGTTTTCAGAGACACTTCACTGAGAATATTTTGGAAATTTATGTTTTAGTCCAACAAGAAAGTGGGTTAAAAATGTAGTAAGATTTTAGGAATGAACTTTCAATAATGCTATTACAGCCATAATGCTGGCAAAGCATCAGGTGAAATGTAGTCCACAACATGTAGCCAAATGTTGCCTACCCCTGGAGCAGAATGTAAAATCCTGTAATAAATATATAATTCTCATACATATTCTATCACCACAGTTATGTTGGATTTACTGGTTGTACAAAATGATATAAGAGAGTTTATTCATGAACATAGAAATTTTAGTAAAGAGAAAACCGAGTTCGGACTTTTAGACTAAAACAGTCAGGGTATAACTAGAGCCGTGTTTAAAAATAGAGAAGAAGGTTGCACTCAATCACAAAACACACACAGGGTGCTAACTGAGCATGGCTCAGCATACCCAATATAATCTACATATAAGAAAATATCTCAGGCACTCACTGTGATATGTTCAAAGCAGCTTAAATGGATCCGCAATGTTTCGACCTGTACCCAGGTCTTTATCAAGCTTGGGTACAGGTCGAAACGTTGCGGATCCATTAAAACTGCTTTGAACGTATCACAGTGAGTGGCTGAGATTTTTGCTTATATATAGCCAAGTTCAAGACTCTTTTAAATCAGCAATGTTTGCATAAGTTTTGATCTTTGGTTTTCAATTCGCCACAATTCAGTGTTTAATGAAAAAACTCCAATATATTGCTCAGTTATTGTAAAACCTACTCATACTTTAGCAAAAATGATTAATTTCTGTCCTTTCAGAGGAACCAGATTCACAGACACACAATACTTTCCGTTGATTTAAACTATTCCAATGAAGTACCTTATTAAAATACACCTCAATTTATATGTTATGTAACCATTATGACAATATCTAGACCCAATTATGTCC